ATCGATGCTAATTTTTATTGTTATTTTCGCATCCCTAGAAACGAAAATATAAGGGTAAAAACTAATAAAGTTAAAATTAGTTCCGGTTTTTTGGTTTCTTCAATAGAAAATCCCAAAAAACCGAACTGATCATTTTTGTCAAATTTTCAGTTTCGAATTACATTTTGTCATGTCAAAATCATCAAAACATTTTGAATTTTTAAATGATATGGTATGATATGATTGGTTAATATTATTTTGGATTAAAATTAGACATGTGATTTGAATTCAATTGAAACAGCCTAGGCAACCAACGGCTGGTTCAGTTTCCAGGTCCATCTTGGCAGCAGCTTTGCCCAAAAAGAAGAAAGAAGATTTATGTCCAAAATAGAATGGCAGAAACATTCAAAATCGCGTAAGATTGCAAACCAAAGTACTAAACAAATATCCATAACATGTTCATCCATGTACAATCAAATTACAAGCTCAACATCCATAGGTCACAAAGACAAATAAACACGAAGCAGCCGTAGTCCTTACTTAAAAAAAAAAAAAACACTTCCAAGACTTTTTTGCCAAGTGAACTTCTCATGTTAAGCTAATTAGTACTACCCTGAACTAAAAGATCTTTGCAATTGATTTCTTCAACATCAAATCCATTTCATGGTCGGTCTAGTCCAAAATAAGCTAATTTTTTAACCTTCCTCTATTTAGGGCGGGTTAGGTATTTTTTGCTCGAATTGGACCCTATATTGAAACAAAATAATGAACAAAATTAGGTATGGAAATCATCAATTGGTTAAAGATTATAGAAATTTGGGGTCCAATCTTGAACTCACTTAACATAACACATTTTTATATAAGCTCAAAATCCAGGGCGTAAATAGTAAATACCAAATATCCAAAAAAGAAAACAACATACCGTTGGTATCCAGAATTTGGCGTCGTTTATTGGAAAACGACACATCCAGTGTCATAACGAAATGTCGAAATTACCCTCGGCCCCTTCATCTACAGTCTACACCCCTAACTAAAACCCCTGATACACACAACAATTTTTTTCAGAAGCTGCTTCTTCACTGAGTGAGAGAGAGAGAGAGAGAGATTACCAAATGAAAACCCCCAAAAAGGAAGAACAAACTATTTGAAGAAACAGAGAAAAAACCCCAAAATCCAAATCTCCTAAATCCCCAACAATGTCTTCCATAGCCACCAAAATCCCCACCACCACCAGGTTTCTCCCCATGCTCTTCGCCACCAACCTACTCTCACGCGCCTCCCTATCCACCGCCACGGCCGCCGGCACCGAGAGCCGCTCGCAGAAGCTCGAGCGAATCGCCGACGAGCTCCTCGACCTCACCAAGCTCGAGAGGCACGACTACGCCGTCCTCTTCCGCCTCAAGATGGGCCTCGACCGCTACGGCCCGGCCGTCTCCACGGCGCCCGGCCCGGCGTCGGGCGGATCTGGAGAGGCCGGCGCCGGCGAGGCGAAGGCGGCGGAGAAGACGGCGTTCGACATAAAGCTGGAGAAGTTCGACGCGGCAGCGAAGATCAAGATCATTAAGGAGGTTCGGTCGTTCACCGATTTGGGGCTGAAGGAGGCCAAGGATTTGGTGGAGAAAGTCCCCGTCGTGCTGAAGAAAGGCGTCACCAAGGAAGAAGCCGGTCCGATTATCGAGAAGCTCAAGGAATTGGGTGCTACTGTGGTATTGGAATAATAACTCAAGACAAAAAAAAAAAAAAAAAAAAAAAAAAAAAAAAC